TATGTGTATATATATATATATATATATGTGTGTGTGTGTGTGTGTGTGTGTGTGTTTTGGTTTTTGTAGAAAGGTATGTTTATTACACTCAAAGGTGTTCAACTGAAAAACAATAATTTTCACTTCATCTTAGTTTCTTTTACTTCATAGCTTGGTATAAATGTTTGTCTTGTTAAAATGATGCACTTTTACTGCAGAGTAAATGTGGATAACTTTCCAATTTATTTACTAAGCAGCAGTTATGACAAAGGGCAGTTTTGGATATTTATTTTAAAGAGTTGCTGATGGAAACATATCAAGATAGTTTATGAGCAGAGTGATCCTTCTGAAGCTCTTAAAGGGCCTGTGGAGGTAAATGTTTGTGTTTTGTGTCTGTATGTTTATGCGAACTTACCGTCTATATTTTTGTTGTGTGTTTCTTCTCTTTGCTCCCCAACACGTGTATCTATGTTCATGAATTTTAGGCCATCCGTCCTGCTTGGACATGAGCGAGGAGCTGGTGTGTGTGATCCAGACGTACTGCTGGCAGTGCATGGAGTGTAAGACCTGCACCGTGTGCCAGCAGCCGCACCACGAGGACGAGATGATGTTCTGTGACAAGTGTGACCGAGGATACCACACGTTCTGTGTCGGCATGAGCTCAATTCCTACAGGTGAGCTCATGCATTTGGTTCAGACACTTAAACTGTGTGTGATCTCTATTCTTGAAGTGTGTGTTCTCTATTTTATTTTGCTGAGACAAAGAAAATCACAAATATGACAAACAGTTAAACATTCTCTCTACATCAATTTATTAAAATGAAATAAATAAAGTGGCTGAATTGCTTAGATTGAGATATAAGTTTTGAATTTTCATTAACAAACCCTCTCCAACTCAATTCTAAATGTGCAACTAAATCTGCATTTGAGTCGTGGGGCACATACAAATAAATAAAGAAATAAATTTACAAGTAAGAAAAAAAAAAGCACAAACCAAGGAGGATGTCAATGCATCAGAACAGCAAACCCAAACAGTCTGTCTTGAAAACAGGAAATGCAAATACTACAAGAAATGGACAAAAACAAGAGTTGGTGTTTGTGAGTAAACTTTAGGAAATTAGCCAAGAAAACGAGATTGAAACACAAACAAGCCAAAAACAAATCTTCATTCCAACCTAACCTTTTGTCTAAAAATATACAATTTTTAACATCTTATTTTACTTACATTATTACAAAGCCATATTGTTTATTAGTCAAACAAAGTAGTTTGTTTAGTGTTGTATTTGTGTGAGTGTTTATGTTAACTGCAAAATAAAACAGGAGTGAACGTCCTTCAGCTGCACATCACAAAGACATGAGAAAACCAGACTTTAGACCTCTATTATCCTAATGATACTTTTTATGCATTTGACTCTTTTATTATTATTACTTTTAACCTTTTTCTGTTTTTATTTTATAATTAATAATTGACTCTTTTCCCTCAGGTCATTGGATGTGTAAAGTTTGTGACAAAGACTTTACCACACCCAAGAAGAAAGGAGCGGTAAAAACTCCTAAGAAATCAAAGTCGGCTCAAAAATAATCAATTTAACAAGTTTAACTACCAATGCACTATCATGAATTCATTCCAGTATTTCAGAGATTTTTTTAAAACCCTTTGTTGTAGCATATCTTTCTTCAAAAGGGAAAAAAATGCATCTCTTTAAGTGGATTATTAACAATTAATGCTTCTTAAGTTAAATTGTTAAAGGTTAAAAAGAAAGAAAATCAAGCTATAACTGTTAATTCCTTCATCTGTGCAGAACAGTTAAGATCTGTTTGTAATTGTCAGATATAATTTTTTTGTGTACAGTTTCATCCACTCACTCCTGTGACATCTGTAGATGAGAATTATCAGAACTTACCTCCAGGAAACAAACGAACTGCAGTTTCTGTCTCGTGATGTTTCTGCAGCTTCAAACTTGTGAAAAATCATTTCAGGTAAAAAAAAAAAAAAAAGGTGCTTTTCGTCCTGTACTACTGAAACATTGGGGCTTGCTGATATTGTTAATGTTAATGCAACACATTTTGTTTTTGTATTTTAATATTTGTTTGTGTTTTTATGATTATTTTTATTTTAAAAGCCAGGCCAGTGAGAGGCATTTCTTTTCTTTTTTTTTCTTTTTTTTTTAACAAATGGTGCTTTAGATCCTTTGTAGTCAATTACCAGTACCAGTGACTGGTTTGTTGAGTGTCTTAAATGTGACTCAGCTCTTCTCTGCTCTTTTGTATTAAAAGAAAACTACTTGTTTTTACACTAAAAAGAACATCAATGAGTGCTAAGTTTGCAATCATATTAATTTTTTTAAATAATTTAAACATTATTTGTGTTTTGCATTATTGATTAATATTGTTTTTTTTTTTTAATGTTTGTTCCTTCTATAATAATTGAATATTTTTGTTGTTTTTTTGCAATAAAAGATTCTTTTAAAGGGTCAAAATGCAGTTATTTCTTACATTTATTTTACAGCATCACTAGTTTTTCACATTTATTACAGGCGTAGCAGTTGCAAGAAACTTAATACTGCAGTTGTAAAACATTAAAACAATCCCAAAAGTCTTATTTGTTAAGTTTAATGCCTTTAGAGATACAATATCTCAGTGTATACCCCTCACATTTTTGTAAATACTTTATTATAAATTTGAATTGGACAGCACTGAAAATATGACACTCGGATACATTTTAGTCAGTGCACAGCTTGTATTTATCTGTCCATCCATTATCTTTACTTGCTTCTTCCTTTTTTGGGTCCTGGGGGTCACTGGTGCCCATGTCCAGCTATCACTGCGAAAGGCAGGAGACACCTTGGACAGGTCTCCAGTCCATCACAGGGCCACGTAGAGACAAACAACCTTTCACTCTCTCACTCACACCTAGGGACAATTTAGAGTTACCATTCAGCCTAACATGCATGTTTTTGGTCTGGAGGAGGAAACCAGAGTACCCAGTTTCCTCCTCTGTGCCACCACTCCCCTAGTGTACAACTTGTCTAACTGTAAATTTGCTGTCCCCTCACAATAACTCAACACAGTCATTAATGTCTAAACTGCTGTCAACAAAAGTGAGTACAGCCCTAAATGAAAATGTCCAATTAGCCATTTTCCCTCCCCTGTGTCATGTGACTTGTTAGTGTGTTACAAGGTCTCAGGTGTGAATGAGGAGCAGGTGTGTTAAATTTAGTGTTGTCACTCTTATATTGGTCAGTATAGAAGTTTAACATGGCACCTCATGGCAAATAACTCTGAGGATCTGAAAAAAAAAGAATTGTTCTACATAAAGGTGGTCTTGGCTAGAAGAAGATTCCCATTGTCCTGAAACTGAGCTGCAGCATGGTGGCCAAGATCATATAGCGGTTTAACAGGACAGATTCCACTCAGAACAGGCCAAAGAAGTTGAGTGCACATGCTCAGTGTCATATCCAGAGACTTTTGAAGATGTATAAGTGCTGCCAAAAGTTAAAGGGGTGATGGGTCAGTCTCACTGCTCAGACCATACGCCACACGCTGCGTAAAGATGGTCTGCATGGCTGTCGTCCCAGAAGGAAGACTCTTCTAAAAATGATGCACAAGAAAGCCCACAAACAGTGAGGACATGGATGGAACCATTTCCTGTGGTCCGATGAGACCACAATTAACTTATTTGGTTCAGATGATGTCAAACGTGTGCGGTGGCGGCGGAGTACAAAGACAAGTGTGTCTTGCCTACATTCACGCATGGTGGTGGGAGTGTCATGGTTTGGGGCTGTGTGAGTGCTGCCAGCTGTGGGGATCTACAGTTCATTGATGGAACTATGAATGCCAACATGTACTATGACATACTGAAGCAGAGCATGATTTCCTCTCTTCAGAAACTGGGCCGCAGGGCAGTATTCCATCATGATAACAACCTCTAACACACCTTCAAGACCACTGCCTTGCTAAGAAACTGACAGTAATGGTGCTGACATGTCTCCTGACCTAAACCCTATTGAGCATCTGTGGGGCATCCTTAGACAGAAGGTGGACTAGCACAAGGTCTCCCAACGTCCACCAGCTCCATGATGTCATAGAGGAGTGGAAGGGGATTCAAGTGGCAACCTGTACAGGGCAGTGCTTGAAAATAATGGTGGCCACACAAAATATTGACACTTTGGGCACAATTTGGGCATTTTCACTTAGAGGTATACTCATTTTTGTTGACCGCAGTTTAGACATTAATGGCTGTGTGTTGAGTTATTTTGAGGGGACAGCAAATTTAGACAGTTATCCCACCTGTACATTGACTACATTGTATCAAAGTGTCATATCAGTGTTTTCCCATGAAAATATATAAAATATTTACAAAAGTGTGAGGGGTGTACTTACTATTGTGAGATACTGTAAATGTAGCCTGCTAATGTGAATTGCTGTTAAAATATGTTAAAATGAGACTTTAATAATAAAAAAAAAATAGCTATACTGTACTGTACTTCAAATGTCTCGATGGTATAGTTTTTTTTTATCTTTTATTTTAGAAACTTAGTTTTAAGGTTTTTTTTATGTGTGTTTATTTATTTTTTCATTTTAGATTTGTATGTTTGTTGAACTTGATAATGCTGTACGACATTTTGGTCCTTCATGCTTTTAATTTGATTTTACTAATAATACATTGAATCAATGGCATATTATTACAAAAATAAATTGGTTGACTAAATCACTTTTTGTGTAAGTTGCTAATCTATATAATTAAAGTTCTTGTGTGCAAGATATTTGGTTTACCATCTGTGAGTTTTTACTGTTTAGCATTTGATGCAAGCATTTGTGCAGACATTTTCCAACTTAAACTGAATATTGCTGTTTCACAATATCTCATAAGCTAACAATAGTTTGGTGTTACCACAAAGATTGTTTTAACATTTTCATTATCTTCATTTTTGTTTGATAGAGATAAGTTCATTTGTAATTTTTTTATATAGTGCCAAATGTCTTTTAAAAGTTTTACAAGCTCTTCAAAGCATGATATATTTTTTGTTGAAAATTAACATTTTGACTATCCAGAAAACTATTTATTCTATTTGTATTACAAGTATTTACAATCCCAATGTTGTTAGTCATAAGATATTTTCGATGTCTACCTAACAACACATACAACCTGAATAACGATACCTTTATATTCAGTTGTTTAAAATTTTAATTTGTTTCAGGGTGTCATTTGACGATCACCACCACATGATGTTTTTTTAAGGAGTCACACACAGACAGTCATCAAAAGGCATTTATACTTTCCCAGCTTTGTTCCGTGTGTAGTATTCCAAGTAGCCTGCGGGGGCGCTGTTTGACACGAACCTCCAGAGTCAACGCCGCCAATCGTCGAAGAAGAGGCTGCCATATTGCAGTGATACAGCGAGTTTGTCTGAGCTTCTTCTGTTTTGTAGGCTTTGTGTTTCAATAATGCTTTCAGCTCAAAATTTTGTAGATCCAGGGAAAATGAAAGATTATCATTACACGGGTCCAACAGAACACCGATTTTCACCTTACGCCTTCAATGGAGGGTGAGTTGTTTTTTTTTTAATTGCTGCTAAAAAAAAAAGTCTAGAAGCTAACTGGCTAAAGTTAGCAAACGAAATTTTAGGTTTTATGAAAGCGATGTGTATATTTATATATGATTTTTTTTGTTTGTTTGTTTTAGAATATAGAAACTTAAATAATGTATTCTTTGTATTTAATCTATTTTAATACAAAATGTATGAAACTACCAGTTTCAGTTTCGTATTTGTGTCCTAGCTTCCGTTAGCAGTGTGGTAAACTCGATGCTACGATGTTTCATGAGTTAAATTAACCAAGATTTTTGATTCTCAGAACTGTACTGGCTGTTGCTGGAGACGATTTTGCTATTGTAGCATCAGATACCAGGCTCAGTGAAGGCTACTCAATCCACAGCCGGGACTCTCCCAAATGCTACAAGTTGTAAGTGCTCAGACATTTTTCAAGAGGAAAAATAATGAACAGCAGTGTATTTGTTATTAGCTGCTATTGGTCTAGCTCTGTGCATCCACGACTTCATCAGAGCACAGTGCTGTAGACATTATTTTGATCTTTATTTGTTGTCAATGTCATTCATCTATATAGATCACACCCACGTTTTTTTTTTTTTTTTTTTGACAGGACAGACACAACTGTTCTTGGCTGCAGTGGTTTCCATGGTGACTGTCTAACTCTCACAAAAATCATTGATGCTAGACTGAAGGTAAGCTGCTTTTAGTTTCACTGTATGATCAAGATGTGTTCTGCAAGGACTCTTCATTACACAGTCATTTCTAATACAGCTTGATGTCATCACACTATTTAAAAATGCTGGATTAGGCAACAAAAAGCCTTTGCATTTACCTATTCATCTCTACAACACAAAATTTAAACTATATTCAAAGACGTTCAAGAAGATGAATGAATTGAATACATTTGTTCAAAAAAAGATTAACTACCACTAAAGATGGGACTGAAATATTTAATTCACTACAAAAAATATATACATTTAAAGATATTAAAGTTGCTGTGTTAATTTTCTCTAACCAATTCGTTTTTATCATAAATTGTTTTGTTTTTATGCCACAGATCTCGGGTCACTAACTACTAGATGACTTTCAGATAAATATTCCTTCTCTTCTTTCAGATGTACAAACACTCAAACAACAAGACTATGACCAGTGGAGCCATTGCGGCCATGCTTTCTACCATCTTGTACAGCCGGAGGTTCTTCCCATACTATGTGTACAACATAATTGGTGGAATAGATGAAGAGGGTTTGTACTAATATTGAGCTCCAGCTTTTACAGTTACATTCATGTTGTCAGAAGTGCATTCTAATAAATATAACTATGCTTTATGCACATAAAATAATGTAAATATATTGATTCACAAGAGTCAGGGTGGCTTCTGGGTAATACCAGATGGCTAGGCCTCAGACTGACGAAGCCTCTTGGATGAGGGGCGAAACGTTTCTTTTTAACAAAAAAAACGAAGTCCAGATGACATGATTCAACCTTTTTTGTTGATATTGATTCTTGTTTTTTTGGGTTACATCACAACAAAATTTTTGTATCCAAAGGTGAAACAGATTGCTTTCCTCAGTCTTCTGTTGTGTTACCATATTGCATAGTATTGTACTGCTGCGTGTATGCATCACTGTTTTTGGTTGAGGTGCATGTTTTGTCTTAAGTCTACACTAAAACTCTCCCTGTGTTCTTGTAATTGTTTTAAATTTGATTTTGAATGTGTGCAATTTAGGCAAAGGAGCAGTGTACAGCTTTGACCCAGTGGGCTCCTACCAGAGAGACACCTACAAGGCTGGAGGATCAGCCAGTGCCATGCTACAGCCATTACTAGACAACCAGGTAGACAACTGAAACACATTTACTTATCCTTCTCACTGTGGGCACAGTTTGACTATTTTCAAAATGTCATGTTACAGATTGGTTTCAAGAACATGGAAGGGGTGCAGCATGTTCCTCTGACTCAGGAAAAGGCAGTTCAGCTTGTCAAAGATGTCTTCATCTCAGCTGCAGAGAGAGATGTCTACACTGGAGATGCCCTTCGAATCTGTGTTGTCACTAAGGAGGGCATTAAGGAGCAGACGCTACCACTGAGGAAGGACTGAAGAGGAGAAATGTTGCCAACATGGGTTTCCTCTTGGGATTCTCTGTTCATCATTCGCTCTGCTAATCTCACTTCTTTTCCATCTAGTTTCTCGGCATAGGAGTGTTGATCCTGGGATTTATTCAAGTATGGCTTTTCCTGGGGATTCTTAATTTCTGCTCTCAAAGCATCTTGGTCTTATCTTAGATCAACATTCCTATTCTGAGAAGCCAGCTCATTACCCACACATGCTCTGCCTCTGTTTGGATTTTTCATTATATGTTGCAGGGATTTGTGCTCAGCTTTTCTTTTTACATTCTTAATAAATGAAAAGAAATTAACAAGTGTTCTTGTGGTTTATTACCAGTACCAGTACTTGTATCTGCTCTCAGATCTTCTCCATGATAGGTTTTTTGGACACTGAACAAAGAAAAAAACATTAAAACCTAAGCTTTTATGTTTATGCACTTTAATTTCGCAAAGACTAACTTATGAAAATGGTTTATTGTATGGTATATACAGTATAGTAACAGGCTTTTGTCAGAATAAATTATTTTGATATAATTGTGATTAGATGTTGACTTAAATACAACAATGTTTTGTCAGGTCTTCTGGACAGTTCCTTTTTTTTTGTTGAGGCGTTTCACCTTCCATCTGAAGGGCTTCATCAGTCTGAGAAGTCACATATAAATTGTTTTCCCCACCAAGCAGTACAGTCCAGTGGACCCACCATTTTGCTGATAAGATGGTTTCTGAGAGCTGTCCTCTTCCCCCAACAGGGGAGCCCCCAGAAACCATCTTGTCACCAATAAACTGGTGTGTCCACTAGGTGTACTGCATGGTGGGGAAAACGGTTCATTTGTGACTTCACAGATTGATGAAGTCCTTCGGATGGAGGGCAAAAAGTCTCGACGAAAACAAAGGAACTGTCCAGAAGACCTGACTGAACATTGCTGGATTTCTTTACCTGGATTATTAAGCATGAACTTTGATGTTGACTTAGTTTTTTTTTTTTCCCCTATGGCTGATGCCAATCTTTAGTAATCAGGATAGCTGAGGGCAAGTACAAAATACCTTTTTTTTTCATTTCTGGCCCATAAATATTTCAGTTTTCTCCAAGTATAATTGTTTAACTTAAATATATTGAACAACTCTTAGAGGAACTTGGAACACAATGATACAAAGCAGTTGAAACTAAATTGCGAGCTACAGTTAGCTGCAGCAACTACTGCTGTACAGTATTCCTGTTTAATTGATTAGGTATAAACTGGCTTGATTGTCTTTTTTTTTTTCCACAAACAAATATTGGCCTGTAGTCGATCTACTTCTGATTATGACTCGAAAATATTTCCGTCAGCTTTGATTGAGGTTCTACATCTGCAGTCATTCTAGATTAGAGTATTCAGGAAACATGGCATATTTCCTTACAGAGTATTGTGCATTGTTTTTTAAGAACAAAGTTTTAATCAGTTTCTTTATTGTCATTCGCACCTCATGTGGTACATGTGGTGGAGCAAAATTGTGTACAAAGGGTCCCAGTTACATCCAACAATAAAATGTAAAAGAAAAACAGTAATAACATCTAAGATATGAACTAAGAAAAACATCAACTAAATATACACTAAGCACTCGTAACATAAAAACATTACGTCGAACATCAGCACAAACATGAACATGAGTCTGTATAAGCAGATGAGCATGCATGAACACATCAACATTGAAACAGATCAGCAGCAACATGATGTGATTTTTTTCATAGTGATTATTCTGGTTTATTGATTCATGAGTCTAACAGCCTCAGGGTAGAAGCTGTTCCTCAGTCTAGTGGTTCTACACTTAATGCTCCTCAACCTCCTTCCTGAGGGGAGTGGGGCAAAAAGTGTGTGTGCTGGGTGAGTGGAGTCCTTCATGATGCAGGTGGACCTCTTCCTGCATCTAGAGGTGTAGATGTCTGTGATGGTGGGAAGACTGACTCCGACAGACTTCTGTGCAGCCTTCATCACTTTCTACAAAGCTTTTCTTTCTGCAGCTGTGCAGCCTCCATGCCACACATTGATGCTGGAGCACGGGATGCTCTCCACTGCACACCTATAGAAGGAGGTGAGGACTGAGCTTCCCAGACCAGCTCGCCTCAGCCGTCTGAGGAAGTAGAGTCTCTGATGAGCTTTCTTGATCAGGCTGGTGGTGTTGCTCCAGCTGAGGTTGTCATTCATGTGTACACCCAAGTACTTGTAGCTGGAGACCACTTCCACCACAGATCCTCTTATGTTCAGGGGGGTGTAGATGTTTTTGTTCCTTCTGAAGTCCACAATCATCTCCTTTGTCTTCTTCACATTGATGTGAAGGTTATTCTCTCTGCACCAGCTCTACAGGTGTTCCACCTCTTGCCTGTAGCTGGACTCATCATTGTTTGTGATGCATCCCACCACTGCTGTATCATCTGCAAACTTTACAATGTGACAGCCTGGATGGGTAGCTGCACAATCATACGTGAGCAGAGTAAACAACACACGTCCCTGAGGAGAGCCAGTGCTGAGGGTTATGGTGGAGGAGGAGAAGTTGTGGATCCTCACTAACTGTGGTCTGTTTGTTAAGAAGTCTAGTACCCAGTTGCAAATGGAGGGGCTTAGTCCCAATGTGAAAAGTCTGTCCATCAGGGTTTTGGGGATCATGGTGTTGAAGGCGGAAGTTAAGTCCACAAAGAGCATACAGACGTAAGAGTTTTTCTGCTCCAGATGGTTGAGCGCAGTGTGGACCACAGAGGAGATGGCATCCTCTGTTGATCGGTTCTCACAGTATGCGTACTGGTGAGGGTCCTCGTTGATGTTGATGGTTGTTTTGATGTGGGTCATGACCAGTTTTTCGAAGCATTTAGCGACTATCAGGGTGAGGGCCACTGGCCGATAGTCATTCAGACCAGTCACTGTAGAGCTTTTTGGGACTGGGATGATGGTGGCAGTCTTCAGGCAGGTGGGAACTGTCTCCAGAGTAAGTGAGGTGTTAAAAACATCTGCCAGCACCTCGCAGAGCTGATCAGCACATTCTTTCATCACTTTTCCGGGCTGTTGTCTGGGCCAGTTGCTTTGTGTGGAATAATCCTCCTGAAAGTACTCCTTACTTCGGCTGAGGTCACGCTGAGATGCTATTCTTCTTTTGCTGGGTGGTCTATTCGGGTTTTCAAAGCATGCATAGGACTTGTTTAGGGCATCAGGCAGAGATCTGTTATGCACTTAATGCCCCTCCACATGCTCCGAGGGTCTTGTGAGATGAATTGACCCTGGATCCTCCGTGCATATGTGGCCTTGGCCTTCTTAATACCAGCAACCAGTTCTTTCCTTGTCCTACTCAGCTCCTCTGAGTTTAATCCAGAATTTTAATTTTACATTTTTAAGGCCAGTTATGCTTTCCTTACCGGTTTGTTGTAGCTTATTATTTGGAGACAGAATCTTGGTAGATGAAATCAAGTATTTCAGCAAATCAAATAAGTTTTAGACGCTTGTAAAAAAGTTAATATTTGAAAGCCCACATTTGCTTTGAGGAAAATACATTATTTTAGTGTTGGTGATGTATTACTTGTGAATGCAACTATCAAGCACAAGATTCCAATGATTTTAAATCAAATTGAGAGAACAAAGAATTCCACAAATATCCAAAGGGATTTGTGAAGGACAAACTTTCAAACCCAAACTCTTGATTAACTGAAGAACATAAAACACCACTTTTATTTTACCTCTTTTTATTCACCCAAGGTAATCAGCATTAGTAACAAGTGTTTACATAACTAGTCGATAAACAAAAACTGTTGTACAAACACAGACACAATCAGTGTCTTTAAGCATAGTATTGAAGGTTGGCCTTCTTCTTGGCTTGGACCTCCAGGATGCCCTCCATGTAATCTTCATGATTCAGCTCTGTGGCTCCACGGCGCAGTGCGATCATACCAGCCTCCACACACACAGCTTTGCACTGGGCTCCGTTGAAGTCGTCAGTGCAGCGGGCCAGCTCCTCATAGTTGACATCTGGACTGACGTTCATCTTACGGGAGTGAATCTGCATGATCCGAGCTCTTGCCTCTTCGTTTGGCATGGGGAACTCAATCTTCCTGTCCAGACGTCCTGAGCGAAGCAGCGCTGGGTCCAAGATGTCCACTCTGTTTGTGGCAGCAATCACCTGAAAAATATAAACAATGCAACCAGGATCAAATCTGGGGTCACTATAAAGTGAAGCCGTTACTGAATGCTTTGTCTATTTACAGTATAATGTCTATTTTACAAAGTATTTAAAACATTATTATATTATTATTACAATATGAGATTAGACATTTAAATTTCTTTTTTTAAGTTGTTGTTGGTATGCTTACCTTGACTTGCATGTTGGGCTGAAATCCATCCAGCTGGTTGAGCAGCTCCAGCATGGTCCTCTGCACCTCCCTGTCTCCAGCCTTCTCGCTGTCAAACCTCTTTGTACCGATGGCGTCCAGCTCATCGATGAAAATGATGGAGGGGGCTTTCTCTTTGGCCAAGGCGAAGGCATCTCTCACTAGTTTGGCTCCATCACCAATAAACATCTGGACCAGCTGTGGACCAGCCAACTTCAGGAAAGTGGCCTTTGTCTGAGCAGCGCAGGCCCTGGCCAGGAGTGTCTTTCCAGTACCAGGCGGTCCATACATCAGTACCCCCTTGGGTGGTTGGATGCCCAGGTTTTCAAACTTCTCCTTGTGGTTCATAGGCAGGACTATGGCCTCTACCAACTCTTGAATTTGCTTATCGAGCCCTCCTATGTCACTGTATTGCTCTGTGGGGCGCTCATCCACTTCCATGGCTTTGACTCTGGAGTCATACTCAGTAGGCAAGGTCTCCAGGATCAGGTAGGAGTCTTTGTTGACTCCAACCAGGTCTCCAGGCTTCAGCTTCTCAGCATCCACCAGCCCGATCACCGGCAGGAAGTAGGTTTGTCTTGTGGAGGTTTTAATGACGGCGCACTTTCCTTTTCTCTGGGAGTCCAGATCCACATTAGCCCCGTCCTCCTCTTGGTCGTTGGGGTCAACATCCAACAGCTCGATCACGTTGGACACCAAGTACGGAAGCGTTTTGTTCACCTTAATCTTCTCCGTGTTTTCTTTGATTTTATCCTTCATGGCCTGCAGCTCGTGAGTCACGCGCAGCACCTCGCTCTTCATTATCTTTATCTCACTGTCGAGGAGACGAGTCCGCTGAACTATCTCCTCTGTGGACATTTTTAACACTTCTTCGCCGATACCATCCTCCACTTCGTCCCAAACTGATTTGTCACTCAGCGACGCCATTTTTGCTCTGTCTGCGCCGGTGGTGAACTGTGACGTAACGGAACTTAAATGTTTCCTCTTCCGGTTAGCGCCGAAGTGCAGCCTGGGGGTTGGGATCGAGCTGAGGCAAAATAATTGTTTGTCGACTCGAGACTGCCTTAAATTACAAAGGTTTGTGCGTAAGTTACCTAAATATTTTTATTGCTTTCAGTCGTATAGATCAAAGTTATTTGCCCAATCTCTAAAACTACGAAGCTGCATGTTTTACGCTGCCGCAACGCGTTTATCGGCATTGCTGCTAACTTGAGCTAGCTAGTAGGAAGGTTTTTAAAATGTTTCATTTATGAAAGCAAATGCATCTTGATGTAAAGCTATTGTAGTTTTGATAACTGTCATATATATATATATATATATATATATATATATATATAAGACTACGGGTTATTTAAACTGA